AGCTATATTCAGGTGGTGAATTTAAAGACACACAAAAAAACAAAACAACAAAACTTGAGTGACCTCCAGTTAGAATTTTCATGGTTTCTTTCTCCTAGGATAACAGGCATTATTTTTTGGGTATTCTTGTACAAGGGCCAGATAGTAAATATTTTAAGTTTTGTAGGCTACATGTAGTTTCTTTCACATTTTCTTTTTTTTTTTCCAAAACAACACTTAAGGTAAAAAGTATTCTTAGTTCAAAATCAGACATAAACAGGCCATGCACAGGATCTGGTTTGCTCTGCAGTTTGCTGGCCCCTACTTCAGTAGTTTAATACTACACGATAACCAGACACTATGACAAAAACTGTCCTCACAATCAAATATGCGCGTCACTGTCAGTCTGTTCTAGAAAATTTAAAAAGTACCAAGTAAATAAACATTTCTGCATATTATTTTTCTGTAGAGTCAAATACATGTAGTTATACACATCTCAGTGAATACTGACACGGTAATGTGAAAGTGTAGTATCTGTATCATTTGGGGGGAATCTTTTATTAATCTACATAAACAGAATGCATAGGTCATAAATGTCCAGTTTGATGAATTTTCACAAAGTGAACACCCAATAACCAGCACCCTGATCTTCTAGTCACCAGACATCTCCCCTCCCCCTCCTCCCACCCAACACGGACACACACACACACACCAGTAGCTACTATTTTCTGTTTCTGTACATTTTATAAATTGAATCTCTTTCATGTCTGGCTTCTCTCAACTTTATGATTGTGAAATTAATCCATATCGTTATGTATACTTGTATTATTTTTAAATTCAAACTAAAAAATAGCCCCTTTATATAACTGAAAAGTAAAGCACAAAGTGCCAACTAATTCTACAACTCCTGCTGTGGAAAAAAAAGCAGTTTGTCACCCTGGCCTCATTCTCTATTTGCTTTTATGCAGTGGCAATAAAGTTTTCAGCTGACTTTCACTATTTACCTCTAGGTCTCTAAGATTTTTAGCTTTCACACACATTTCTTCCCTCTATCTCCCCCCCCTACACACTTCACAAACTCTGTACCATTCCAATGGCTTTATCGTTATTTTCATTAGAAATTCAGCATTTTTCAGCCGGGTATGGTGGCTCACGCCTGTAATCCCAGCATTTTGGGAGGCTGAGGTGGGCAGATCACTTGAGGTCAGGAGTTCAAAACAGGCCTGACCAACATGGTGAAACCAGGTCTCTAATACATTAAAAAAAAAAAAAAAATTAGCCGGCATGCCTCCAGCCTGGGCAACAAACTGAGGCAACACTCCTTCCCCCGACCTCACCCCCCCAAAAAACCTAGCATTTTTCATTGTTATAACTATAGAATACAGATAAACAGAACTATTTATTATGATTAGTTTTTCTTTCCTGCACATTTGTTTGGTACACAGTTAATTCCTTTGCTGGGTGTTCTATGTTAATTATAATTCAACCCCTAACTTTTGTTCTAAATACATTCAACTAAAAATATTATGTAATTCTATCAATTTTATTGTCTTGAAAGCACTCTTTGAGCCTTCCAACCTGCTGCACTCTAGACTTTTTGTCTTCAGGCCTGTCATCTCTGGCGCTCTTCATCATATCGGGGATCCTCCCTCTCATGCTGGACCCTCAGATTCCTGGATCCTACACTCTCTACTTTTTTGATTTATGACCTTATTGCAGTGGGAGCACACATCCTCCAGTAGTTTCCAAAATGAGAAGGCCTTACATACCTAAAAGTGTCTTTCTACTACCATTTGAGTTTATAGAGAATTTTAAGTTGGAAATAACTGTCCCTCAGAATTGCAAAGGCAAAATGCTCCATGTTCTTGTGGGTTTCCAATACTGCTACTAAGAAATCTGGTGCCATTATGACTCCTGGTTGTTTATACAAAGCCCCACTCCCACCACTCCACCCTACCACCCCAGCTCTCTGGAAATCTGCAGAACCAGTTATTTGCTCCCACTGTCTCAAAACTTCATGACAGTGTGCCCAGGTCCAGATGTTTACAGACTATGCTGGATGCTCCATAAGCCCTCTCAGAAAACATATTATTTTTGGCTTTGGAGTATTTCCTTGATTCATTTTTGATTATTTGTTTCCTTCCATTTTCCTTCGGAATCCTAGCATTCGGGTGTTACGACTCCGAAAATAGGTATCTAAAATTGCATTCCCAAAAGCTCTTTTATGTATTATCCAACTTTTGTTTCAAAATTCAATATACAATATCCCCGAGGATAATGACAGGTTTCGGGTTTGCTTTTAAAGTTTTTACTGGTCTTGGCTAATCTGTTTGTTTTGAACTTATTTTTTTGGACCTGGTTTCATCTTTATATTCCATACATAGAGGTTTCCTTCAGTGTTTGGTGAGATCCTTGGCTTTGCTTCTGTAGGAAGGGCACTGGAACTTTGGGTGAATGATGGGGTTGTTGAGTGAGAGCTATACTTTGAGTGATCTGGTAGCACCATTTCTTTGGGGAGACAAGATTTCCTAAACAGGGCTTTTTCCCATCTCTTGCCTAGACAGTGTAAGTCCAGCTGCCAGGGAGTCAGGAAGTCAGGTACAGGGCACAGATGTCAATATGCAAATATGCTTACTGTCACTTAGTTCCCCAACACATATACCCCATCTCTGCCTCATGTTTGCCAGTCTAGAGACTCTCCCCAGTCTCCTGCTAGGGTGCAGGAGAGAGAGCTGTCCAGGTGAACAGAGTAGGGAAGGCGATCTTGTGTGTTCCAATTCCTTCTTAAAACAGACTTTAACCAATCTTTGATTTTAGCCTCACTTTCATCCTCACTTCCAGTAGCTTGTGACATCAATTTCTGAGCCTTTCATGGATTCTCCATTATAACCCAGTTTGGTTCTCAGATTTCCAAGCTGATAAAGCTTAGAATCATTCTGCTAGGTTAGTTAACCATTCAACTTTCTAAATGTTCTGAATTACCACATTTAGATGCTGTTTCTTCTCTGCTCTTCATTTTTGTCCTTGTGAGTTCATAAACCTTTAATTCATTGCATTTGATTGGAGTTTGGGGAGGAGGTAAAAATAAATTATACATGGGTTCAATTCACCAACTTTAAGCCTGTCACTAATCATTTGTAAGAATTATTTGTATATATTAAGTACTCTGAAAATTTTGAAGAACATATATAGTATGCCATCTTTTGAAATAACTTCCAATTTTTCACTGTTATAGCTTGAGAAGTCAACATAAAAAGAACTCAATGAAGTCAAAATTACAAGTGCTTGATCAATGTTTATAAAAGTTGGTTTTAAGCACACGAAGAACATTTTTCTCCACTCCTAAATTATGCCCCTTAAAAATACAAGCAAAAGGCAATTGATTACAAATACTGGTGGCCAGACACAGTGGCTCGTGCTTGTAATCCCAATGCTTTGGAAGGCTGAAATGGGACGATTGCTTGAAGCGAGGAGCTGGAGACCAGCCTGGGCAACATAGCAAGACCCCTGTCTACAAAAACTTAAAAATAGGCCGGGCACGGTGACTCACGCCTATAATCCCAGCACTTTGGGAGGGCAAGGCGGGCAGATCACAGGGTCAGGAGATCGAGACCATCCTGGCCAACATGGCGAAACTCCATCTCTACTAAAAATATAGAAATTAGCTGGTCATGGTGGCATGTGCCTGTAATCCCAGCTGCTCAGGAGGCTGAGGCAGGAGAATCACTTGAATCAGGGAGTCAGAGGTTGCAGCGAGCCAAGATTGCGCCATTTCATTCCAGCCTGGCAATAGAGCGAGACTCCGTCTCAAAAAAAAAACAAAAAAACAAAAAAACATGAAAACTTAAAAATAAACTAAAATAAATATTGGAAAATAAACTCAAAACTTAGCTTATGTCTTCAATATAGATAATAGCTTAATTTCCTTCCACTGATAAGTGATATATGTATTACATTTTATATATGCAAGTAATCTTCATTTATATGAAGATTATATAAATACCATTTATTTATATAAATATAAATACCTCTTCCAATACCACCGAAGCCAAGAATTTTCCATTTATTATATTCCCCTAGGGCTTAGAATTTCTCCTTTCCTTCTTTTGAAAACTGGCTGCTCTTTATGATGGTACTACCAGCCTGGTCTCATGTCACACTCAACCATATGCCAGTCCACAGGAGTCCTTCAGTGATCCTTGGCAATGGTGAAGGAGGTGAAACAGAAGGAGAGAAAAGGTTTGCGGTAGCGCCCCCTGGGAGTAGTTCAGTGTCTTAAAAGTCTCAAACCCATCTAACTCTTCCAAAAAGATGCAGTCTATTCTTTACAGTGCCACCCCACTTTTTGAAAACAAAATAAAAAGATGGTTTTTGCTTAAGGATAATATGAACTTCTACTTAAAGGTCAAAGTAGCTACACTTCAGCTCTTGCATAACACACAACTATCAAACTCACTTGTTTTTCCTTGTGTGATTCACATTTAAAAATAAAAAGGAGAAAGAAAACCTTTCTATGGAAGCATTCAATCATTACTGACAGAAAAATTTCAAACCTTTGTTATCTTTGCCTCTACTCTGGATGCTCTAGTTTTCTCTAGTATCTCTAGCTTGCAGTTTAAAATCCTTGTAACACATCAAAAAGCCTACTATCTATACTTTTAGGGCATAAGTACAGAAGAGAAGCTAAGTGGTTGTGGTTGTGCTTCTGTTCAGAAGCAATGAGTGATTAAATGAACCTTAAGAGTATAATCTAGTTGTAATTTGAGAGGCTATCAACAGTAAAAAAGTGGTATCCTTGTGGCATTTGATCAGAGGATCACTGAGAATGTTAATTCTTGAGAATAATAATTGTTGATTTTGTTAATTAGTAATTACAACGAAGATACATTTCAAAACTGAATATGGGCAATTAGGAAAAATCAAATATATGTTTTTAGGACAAAATACGGAAATTCTCTATTAAGTGGTTTTTAAAATATGCTGCTGAAACATAACAGAAGAACCAGCTCTTTTGTACTTACAGCACAGAATTCTTCAAAGGATATTCTTCCATCTCCATCCTTATCTGCATTTATTATGGTTTTGTCTACAATTTGCTGTAACTGTGTATCTTTCAGATTGTTCCCCACCATCATCTTCAGTACCTGGAAGAGTTCCCCATTGGAAATATAGCCATCTTTATCCATGTCATAGATACGGAAAGCAACTAAAAAAAGGGAAGGAAAATCAATTCCAATTACAAAGCAATCACAAGCAAATGCTTTCAATAAGAAAGAAAATAGTAAACTGACAAACATCAAAATTGACTATGAGGATGTCTCCTTCCTTAAAATAGAGTTGTCCTTAGGCACAGTTTAACATAGTTGGTTAAAAGTATGGGCTTTTGAGGCTGCCTGAGCAGATTTAGTGGAGCTTAGAGTAAGTTAACTATCCCTGCTAAGCTTCAGTTTCTGCACAGAAAAAACACTAGAGATAATAACAACTCCAACAACCTCTCTTGTTCTTTAGAACATTTCTTCCCACTGTCACTAAAAAAAAATCTCTTCTCTAAATTACAAATGTAGTTTACATGGTTGTTTTCAGTAGAAAGAAACTGTTTTGCTTCTATCCAACTAAAAGCAACAATGACACATTATTCAAATATAGTAGTGGCAAATGTCTTAAAAGGATTTTCACCAGAATGTAAAATTTCAGTTATGTCTAAGGATCTGGAATAAAAGACATCTTTTTCATTATTTTAAAAACCATTCTCTAATACGGTATGAAATGATGGTAGTGTAAGAGAATGAAGTCAGTGAAGAAAAATACTTACACCTCAACTTCTGCTCCTTATCTCCTTTGACACTGAACTGAGAGACGCCCTCAATGAATTCTGAAGAAGAGTTAAAAATGTTCACAAATCAGAACTTCCAATTTTTTTACACAAAAAAACATATTTACCTTACATTCCCATAAAAGGATATTTCCTTGCTGCAAAACAAAAGTACTACTAGCAACATTTAAAAATAAAATTGTCAAATTTGAAACCTCAACAAACAAAGTCTCTCTGTATTTTTTTATTTGAACTTGGAGTTCTCTAAGGTCAATCAATTTGAACAAACATTTTTTAAGTGCAAAATAAAAGAACACTCAAAACATATTCTTTAAGTTAACTCTTTCCTCTTAGAATATGACTGTGACAAGGGGCTTTAAAAAAAAAACCATTATAAATTGTTCTGACACTACAAAAATAACTTTAAATTTCTACTTCAAAACCGTGAACCAATATGCTGTTAGAAGTTTCACGACAAATCATTTTTCTTCACCACCTGATAAGCACTAAATCATAATCAGTTTTATATCCCTCCACTTATAATTCTGTTCTCCAAACTAAAATAACAAAATCTACTGACAAATCTCTAGTGAAATGTTTATTTACTTGTTTAAAAAAAAAAAACTGGGCGTGGTGGCTCATGCCTGTAATCCCAGCATTTTGGGAGGTTGAGGCACGTGGATCACTTGAGGTCAGGAGTTTGAGACCACAGCCTGGCCAACATAGTGAAATCTCGTCTTTACTAAAAATACAAAAACTAGCCAGGTGTGGTGGTGCACACCTGTAATCCCAGCTACTCAGGAGGCTGAGACAGGAAAATCGCTTGAACCCAGGAGGCAGAAGTTGCAGTGAGCTGAGATGACACCACCACGTTCCAGCCTGGGCAAAACAGCGAGACTCCATCTCAAAAAAATAAATAAATAAAAGGAATTGCAGTTTCTAATGTTGTATATAAGAATATACAGTATTGCCCTAAAGTGAGATTAATTTTCTAAAAAGAAAGGAAATACTGAGTCTCCCCTGCTTTTTGGTAGATTATCCTAAAGAACAACTTAATCATTTATGAACCACAAAGTAAAAGATCCTATTTCATTAAGGTGAATATACCACAGATGTTGAGGTTTTAACATAATCTATTATTGTAAGGTCACAAGGAATATAAACACTTTTTTTTTTTTTTACATAGAGCTGTAGGAATACAAACAGGTTATCTAATTTGTGATTATAAAAAATAACTACTTTCTTACCTTTAAAGTCTACTTCTCCATTCCCATCTGTGTCGAATATATCTATTACTCGCTGTACTAAAGGATTCTGTTGTAACTCAGGCAGAGACATGAACTCTTCCACACTCAAAGAACCAGAATTGTCCAAATCAAGCTTCTTAAATCTCTTTCCTAGCCTTTTAATTTCATCCGCATCAACTAAAAGCAAACAAAAAAGGTAGCAAGAATTTTTTAAAAATGTTCCCAAATCCTTTCTAACAGGCAGTAGCAAGATTTTGAAAAATTTAATAGTTATACGGGGAAAAAAATCCAACAGTTATCCAACAGTTTAATTTCCAATTTGATAAAAAGAGGTATATATTATAATGTTAACTAATTTCTTCTCATAGAATACAACATAAATACTTGTATTTGGTTACCTTTCTGTTTGTTTGCACCTGCCATTACATACATCCGCTGTATGCTGAGTCTCAAGATAGTCCAGGCCTGATAATGCTAAGCTGATCATGGAGGTTACAAAAGATTATTTCAGGACTGACAATGCCAATGCTAAGCTGATCACGGAGGTTCTACCAGACAGATTCAATCAACCTCTGTTCTGTACACCAAAGAACTTTCATTTTCATTTTTCTTGTTAAATTTTAATTTACTTTCTTTCTAATAGTTCACGACTCAAAAATTCAAAGGGTATTCAAAATTCAAAGTTTCCCTCCCTTCCCACCCTGAGATATCCATTTCCTTTCCCTGAAAGCAATGTTGCCGTTTCCTGAATATTCTTCCAGAGATACTTTACAAGTACGAGCAAACAAGCCAGCTTTTACTTAACAATCAAATAGCTAACAAAATTCACTTGTCAACACTTTAAAAGAGAAAGAATAACTAAAAAATGTTTACATTAGTTTGTAAGTACTCCATAAAAATTCAGTGTCAGGTCTCTTATATACATTCTTGAAAAAGCAGGGTTTAAGCTGTTTTCTTCTAAATTACATCATTTTAATTCCTTTAAAATATCTGACTGATACACATAAGTAATTTTGATCATGACTTAACAGAAATAGTAATTACAAATATATTTTTTAAATTACATACAACAGGCCAGGTGCAATGGCTCATGCTTGTAATCCTAGCACTTTGGGAGGCCAACGTGGGCAGATTACTAGAGGTCAGGAGTTACAGACCAGCCTGGCCAACATGGTAAAACCCCACCTCTACTAAAAATACAAAAATCAGCCGGGCATGGTGGCACGCACCTGTAATCCCAGATACTCAGGAGGCTGAAGCAGGAGATCGCTTGAACCCAGGAGGCGGAGGTTGCAGTGAGCCGAGATCACGCCACTGCTTTCCAGCCTGAGTGACAGAGTGAGACTCTGTCTCAAAAAATTAAAAATAAAAATAAAATAAATACAACAACTTTTAAAAAGAAAATTAAGAAGGCAAATGTTATACTGCCAATGAGTATATATGTATTATGGCCCACAATGCTAGAGAACAGTACAAATACAAGCTGTCTTGACAGCTTAAATATATGGCATCCTCACTATAAGAACTTAAAAATTAAAGCATATATTTTAAATATAAATTATATTAAAATAGAACTATAATTATCTATACTATCAAAGTAAAAACTACAGCTACAAGGTGGTGTTCTAATATGAATTAGTTCACACATAATTGGTAAAGAGGAAGGAGAGTAGTATTGTCAGTAATCATGGAAATTTCATTGATTCACAGGGATTTTTCTCAGTATGTTATAAAAGGATGAGGGGCAAGTTTCTTTAAAAAAAAAAAAAAAAAGGCTGGGCACAGTGGCTCACGCTTGTAATCCCAGCACTTTGGGAGGCTGAGGCAGGCTGAGGAACCTGGGGTCAGGAGTTTGAGACCAGCCTGGCCAACGTGGTGAAACCTCACCTCTACTAAAAATACAAAAATTAGCTGGAAGTGGTGGCAGGGTGCCTGTAATCCCAGCTACTCGGGAGACTGAGGCAGGAGAATAGCTTGAACCTGGGAGGCGGAGGTTGCAGTGAGCTGAGATGGTGCCATTGTACTCTAGCCTGGGCAACAAGAGGGAACCTCTGTCTCCAATAAAAACCTCAATATATGAAGACCTTAAGAAAACAACAGTGAAGAGGCGCCTTCCTTTAGAGAAAACAAGTTTAGTGGCTTTAAGAACCTCAAGTCTTTCTAACATTGTTATGTTGTCTGGTGAAAACTAAGGACACAGATGAAGAAGTAGTGAAGACAATTTCTTTTGTTTTTATGCTCCCTCACCCCCAAAAACTATTAATAATAAGGTAGCCATACATTGGCTCACCACTGAATTTTAGAAAAGTAGCTTCTACTAAAGCAAGTAACTTCAAGAACCTACACCATACCTTAATAGAAGCACAAGTCCCCATTTAAGGCTCATAAGTGATGGGTTATGGTGTTTCATTTGTATAGTTAATTTGTACTTGTATTTTTAAGATCATCACCGTTTATGTTAATACTCTGTTACAAACAAAGCTGCATAACTTGAATGGTCTACTCTATCCATGTTTTTCCCACATGTGATTTCATAGCATGTGAGGTTTTCTAGAAAACATGTATCAGAAATGCTGGGATGAAAAATTTATCTAAATACTGCTGCAAACAGCAAAATACATATACAGTCATGCATCACTTAACGATGGGGTTACATTGCAAAATGCATCATTAGATTTCGTCATTGTATGAACATCAGAGTGTACTTACACAAACCTATGTGGTACAGCCCACTACACACCTAGGCTATATGGTCCAGCCTATTGCTCCTAGGCTACAAAATCTGTACAGCATCTTAATGTACTGAATACCGTAGGCAATTGTAACACAATGCTAAATATCTGTGAATCTAAACATATGTAAACATTCAAAAGCTACAGTTAAAGTATAGCATGAAAATTTTATTTAAATGGTACATCTGTATAAGGCACTTACCATGAAAGGAGCTTGTGGGACAGGAAGCTGCTCTGGGTGAGTCAGTGGTGAGTGGTGAGTTAATGTAAGGGCCTAGGACATTACTGTAGACTTTATAAACTCTGTACACTCAGGCTACACTAATGATGCATTTCTCAATGTAACCCATCGTTAAGTGACACATGACTGTATATGTATTTTCAGCTCCATTATAATCTTACAGAACCACTGTGTATATGTGGTCAGTCACTGACCGAAAATTATTATGTAGCACATTAATGTATATAAATAATCTCATCAAAAAGTTCACATAAACACTTCATAAGCACATCAACTACATAAGGCATTTTATCCCTCTATTAAAGAGTATTCCTTCTTTAATGGAATATGTGACATAAATGCAAACTGTTCAAATAAACCTTATTTCCCCACTTTCTATCTATAAAATGACATACCCTTAATCCTGAAAGAGAAAAAATTTAATCAAGTCCTACAAATGCTTTTCGCTTATTTATTTACATGTCTACTCCACCTCAGGGCACAGTCCATGGCTTTTTCATTGGTGCTCTGGGCATCACATATAACAGGTGCTTAATAATGGTTTTAATAATGTTTTAAGTGAGAATTAATAAGTATTTCAAATGTAAAACTTATTGATTAAAATGCCACCAGTATTTAAAACTACTAGCTAACCAGGTACCAATCAGCAAACCATTCAGAACAGTGTCTCAAAGTTCACAGATTTTGCTGAAGAGGTACCCTCTTCAAGCTTGCCTTAATTTTTTACACATATACCAAGGATTAGTTATTCTCTTCTTCCAACCTTTAGTTTACAATCACAGACTAGGAAAGGTGATGGGGAAATTAAACACAATAGATCACAAAGGTGGTCTACTATGAGTGGATAAGAAAAGACAATGTCTTCACGAAGTGGACAAATCAGGATCATTTCCTCTAGGCTGTATGATTAATGGGAAGAGGAAAGGCAGAAATGTAGTATCATAAGATTTATGCAAACTATTTATTAGAGTCTATTTCTTGAAGCAGGGACATTAATTATAGTTTAGAAAGTTGTTTATCAAGAAACTGAAATTGAGGCACTTAAAGGATTATGTTTTAGTTACTCAGAAAACTCCTCTAATCCAGGAGATAGCATTCCAGTCTTAATAAATGAATAAAAAATATTAAGAATACTTGAGAATAAAGAATCATAAATCAAATAAATATATTTGGCTCAATCCATCTTCTTTACACTGCCAACAGTAATCTTTCTAAAAGGCAAATTCAGTCAAATGGCTAGCTCCCGTGCTTTACATTTTCTAGTGGCTTTCTAATACAAAAAGTCTAAAGTCCTTGACAATACTAGCCTCAAATTTAAATTTCCATCTTATCTCTTTCCCCATTTCCTTTTCTTTGGCTACAATGCTCTTGGCACAACTCTGCTAGAGTATAGATTTTATACCTCATTTCCTTATAAACCTCCTGCTGGAATGTCCTTGCCTGAATTCTCCATTTATGAGACACCTGTCAATTTCTCTCTAGGGAGAAAGGTGTTTGTCACTAATGATTTATAGTTGTATCATTACCTCACTCACTGGCAAAAGCCCTTAGAAGGAGTAGTTAAATTTTATTTACTTGTTTTAATATCTTGTAAAACATTATAAAGTAGTTGATATCTGTTCTGGATGAATAGCCAAAACTTTCCTCAAAGGCAAAGCAATGTGCCAGTGATCACATTTTACCTTGACAATAAATGACTTCTTAAAAAGCCCCTTTAATATGACTAGGAGGGAACAAGCTCTATCTAATCTTTCCATTCATCATCATTCCCACATATGCTATGTAGCTAAAACTGATCTTGAGCTAAGAAGCCAGAGCAGTGTGTGAGGAGGCAGTATTTTTCTCCAACCACTGATTTATTTCCTCATCTCCCTCCCCTCCTTTCAGCTAGGATTACAGTGATGAGTAAGACAGACTAAATACTCAGTATTTGCAATCTAGTTGAGACTGAGCAACTAGAGGAATCCATACCTAAATATCCAGAACATTTTTAAATGGCCAGCTTGGAAAGCAAAGCCAGGAAAAAAATTTAAAGCCAAGATCTAAGAAAGTTGTCTTTCAAAAACAAATGGTAAAAATAGTTATTTTAGGTATCAAACAAAATTATTTATTTGGTCATTACTGGCACCCGAGGGGCAGTTATTTAAGCACTTCCATTTGCCAGCAGTGTTGCTGTGTTGCAGTACGATATTAGAGTATGAAAC